GGAGGAGAAGAGGCAAGAAAGAAGCAGGGCACGGAGAGTCCTGTGCCCCAAGCCTAGGGCTTTGCTCTGATCCTGAGGCCTACAGAACACCACCGAAGGGTTGAGGACATAAGAGTTCAGCTGTGGACAGGGGGGCTTTGAAACATGGGATGCTGAAGGCAAGACAGTGAGCAGAACTGCAGGGCAATCCAAACTACAGATGGCATCAACTAGAGTGATAATTACCCAGGTGCAGAAGAGGGGATACACGAGCGAGATGGAAGATGGAACTGGTAAGCTTTGGGAATAGAACGGGCGCAGGCTTGAGGAGTTAAGAAGCTGCTGGTTTGGCTCTGGTGAGCGGCTGGATAGTGGCCAGTCTCTGTGGCAAGGCACCTGCAGAAGCAGCACATTTTGGGTGGAATGATGAGTTCTGTTTTGGATAGGTAGCGTTTGAGAGCCTGGGACATTGAGGCCATTCATCTATGGTTCTGGGCCTTGGGGGGGCAGATCTGGGCTGGAGACCGATGTGGAAGTCACAGGTAGAAAGGAGGCTGTTGAATTTGAGAGTTGGGGTGAGCCACAGGGAGGAGGGTCTAGGGAAGCACTTACGATCCAGGGATAAATAGAGGTGAGGAGGCTGCCAAGAAGAGCACTCCCCATCATCGTGGGAGCTCATAGCATGTCTGTCATTAGCATCTTGCATGCAAAAGAGACGGGTCTCTCCCCGGCCCCAGGGTTGGCAAGTGTGCAGCTCAGGGAGACTCGGCACACCTGTCAAGAACACAACAGGTTTCTCATGAGAGAGTGTCGCCATCCCCGATAGCAATCCCATTTTCTGCCTCTGTGGGTCCCAGGTGCCCCTTTGTGGCTCCAACACATAATTGTATACAATGCGTGGAATGTGGGATCTAAATCTGATATTTTCTACTTCCTGCTTGATTCAAGCAGCCCCTTCCATGGCTGAAGCTGCAGTAACACAAACCACATTGTGAAGGTTTTTCTGTTTTCTCTCTTCCCCACTGCACTGGAAGGAACTTGCCCGGCCTCATTCTCTACCCAAGGAAGTCGCCAGGCCTCAGGGGCAGCGCAGTGGGTTAAAGACATCACAGCCCGCAGGGGACACTCTGAGCTCTGGCTGTGCCAGGCTCCAACGTGTTCCTTGTCTCTGGGGGGGTGGGCCTTCTGGGGACCTGCTGATGTGTCTCTGTCCCCTAACGTGATGCCTTAGTGTCTCAGGGGTTTGAGCACCTCCTGGTGGAGCAGGGCTACCACCCTGCAAACACTCATGGATGCAGCTCTGGTCCTGTGACCTCGTCAGGCCTGGGGAATGCAGGAGGCACAGGCTTGTTTGCCGGGGCTCATGACCCACTCTGGGACAGTTGGAGATTTCAAGGATGCAGGCCCAGGGTGCTAAGGGGGTACAGTGGAGGATACTTCACTAACTCAGCCAGGGCTTGGGACATACAAAGAATCTTCCAGGAGGAGGTGTCACCAGACCTGGGTCATGAAAAAGTATGTGCTATCTCTTTGAGCCTTGGTTTTCTTATTGGTGAAATAGGCATAGCAGACACCTTTAATTCATAACATTGCTGTGAATTAAATAAGATGAAATATATGGCAGGCATTGTATATTAGCTAACCCAAAGCCATTCACAGTTCCCCTCCTTCTTCCTGCTTTTTGCTATCCTGGAGGCTGGGAAGGTAAAACTCTCAGGTCACTGTGTGGTTAGAAGGGGTCATATGACCTAATTCTGGCCATATATACAAAAGTCCCCATGGAGGATTTACTTTGCTATGAGAAAACTCTCTGCCTTTTCCTTGTCTTCTATCTGGAAAGGGGATATAATGGAGTCACTGCAGCCATTTTGCAAGCATGAGGCACAAACATGACTTTGGAGTCTACACGTTAAGGATGGGAGAGCCTGGGAATGAGATGGCATGCGAACTTCCACCCCAGCCCTGGACTTTCTCTGAACTTCTTGCACGAATGCTTAAACCACTCAGGGTAGGGGTTTCTGCGATGAACTCCTTGTTGATATACTTGTGAACTACTTACATAATGCTTGACATAAAAACTCCATATGGGGTAGGGATAGTTGAGGAGGAGAAAGAGAGGAGATAAAGTGGGTTCTAGGATCAGTGCAAAGCCAAGGTGTCTTGAGGGAAACTGAGCTTGCTTGGGGAGCTGGAGAGTAGGGAGTGGGGAAAAATTGCTGGGAGAGGAAGCAGCAAAGGCCATGGGGATCTGGAGCCTGGAAGGCCTGTGTGCCATGCAAAGGAGTTCATGTTTTATCCTGAAGAAGAAAGAGAGAGTGGACTCACAGAACACACAAAGAAAAACAGTAGTTCAGTGATGTCAAACTCTGACGAACATCAAGGAAGATCGGGAAGTGTTAAAACAAACAAACAACAACAACAAAACCAAAGCTGGACAGGAAAGAGGTAAAAGCAGGTTTTATCCATGATTATTGCAATAAGGAAAAGAGACTTTGGTACAGAACTATAGAACTGGGCTCAGTTCCAAATGCAGCCAGAATAAAGGCGTTATGGCCAAGCAGCCAGGTGGGATCGGTGGGTGGGAAATGACTAAGAGGAGTGGGGGATTCTGGTTACACTCACCTCACAGGATTCAGGCCAAGATGGTCAGGAGGATGAGGCAGGATGAGGAACCCAATTAAACACCCAAGGTGGTTAGACATGGAGGGTGAGGGGTCCTGACTTAGCTGGATTCTTCCTGAACACTGGCTCTTACAAGGAAGTACACAGATGGGCTTGAGAGAAGACTCAGGAACCTGACTAAAGCATGGTGAAGGAAAGAATCTTTGTCAGAGAGAAAAGTCCTCCCTGGACTTGAGGAGGGCAGAGTTCCAGTGGGCTGAGGAAGGGACTGGGGGGAGGTGGGGGGAGAAGGAGAGTGTGGCACCCTCTTCCAGAACCGATTCTAAAGTGGAGGAGGCAAGCAGGGGATTTTTAGTGAAGTAGAAATAGAAATGATTCATGCTTATTGTACATAAACTGGGAAATAGGCACAGTAAGTAAGTAAATAAATCAATCAGTCAATCTCACCTCTCATTCTATGCCACACAGAAGAACAATTGTTCACATTCTGTTGTTCATTGCCTCCTGGCATTTTTTCTATGTCTGTGCATAAGATATATCTTTTCTTTTTTCTCCCTCTTCTTATCCCTCTCCCTCTCGTCTTTCCTTTTTTTTTTTTGAATTGCAGTCTCACTCTGTCGCCCAGACTGGAGTGCAGTGGCTGCTCCCAGCCACCGCAGCCTCGACCTGCTGGGCTCCGGCGATCCTTCCTCCTCAGCCTTTTGAGTAACTGGAACTACAGGCGCACGCTGCCACACCTGGCTAAAATTTTTGATTTATTGTAGAAAGGAGGTCTCACCAAGTTGCCCAGGTGGGTCTCGAACCCACGGGCTCAGGTAACCCACTCACCTCAGCCTCCCAAAGTGCGGGATTACAGGCTGAGCCACCGAACCAGGCTCCTCTCATCTTTCTAGTCAGGGACTTACTCTGTCACCCAGGCTGGAGTGCAGTGGCATGCTCATGGCCACCAAAGCCTCAACCTGCTGGACTCAGGTGATCCTTCTACCTCAACCTTCCAAGGAGCTGGAACTACAGGCATGCACCACCATGCCCAGCTACTTTTTTTCCTATTTATTGTGGAGACCAGGTCTCGCCAAAGTTGCCCCCTGAACTTAGGCAATCCCTTTGCCTCTTCCTCCCAAAGTGCTGGGATTACAGGTGTCAAGCACTGCTCCCGGCACTTTTGATTCTTGATTGGGGGTAGGAAGGGAGGGGAGGCAGTTGTCAATAAAAGATGCTGTTGGGATAACGGGGAAATTGGAGCACATTTGAGAAGACTGTTGTCTCAGCGTCACATTTCCTGACTACGGTCACTGTGCTGTGGTTATGTGGGAGAATTTGCTTGTTCTAGGGAGGTGCAGGCTGAGGTTCTTAGAATGAAGTGTTGTGGTGTCTACAACTAACCCTCAAATGTGTCCGGGAAAAATGCAAAGTCGGAGAGAAAGGCTAGAGCCAAGGTGCAGAGTGCTAGCTGCTGTGCAGGGCGTCTGTGGGGCACAGCCAGCTGCCCTCTTGGGAGTGGAGGTGCTCAGGCCCCTTCCGGAGTAGCCCACATCCAGTGGAGTGTAAAGGTCCTCTTGTCGCAATTCAGGATGACCTGGAAGGGCCATCCCAACCCCAGAGCTCCCTCCTCCCCAGAAGGGCTGGGGCTTCTGCTGTGTTTGCGTTCCAGTCAGCAGCACCCTTTGCTCAGACCTGCTTCCTCCTCTACCCCTGGGGACACCTAATAAACTTCCAGTCTCTGTCTCAGCAGGGACCCACCTGTGCGACTATGTGAAGCGTTCACAGATGTGGTTATTAACCCTTCAACTTTTTTGGTGTTTGAAATGTTTTCAAAATAAAACCTTTGTGGAAAATAATTAAAAGACAAACAGGATAATGTTTATCACAAAGGCTTAGTGTCTTTAATATATAGACATTCTTACAAATCAACAAGAGAAAGACAAATGGGTCATTTTAAAAAATGTGCCATGGAAATAAACAGAAGAATCACAAAGAACCATGATAAGACCACAAACAGGTGATAACATATTTAAACATATCATATAAATGTACTTCTAAAACAAGAAATAGCTTTTTTCACTTACCACATTTGAAGAGATGTAAGAGGATGACTCAAGACTGGTGAGGCTTGGGGAAGATGTACTCCACACAGTTTTCCTGAGCACAGTTTAGTAAAATATAGATATCAAACCCATTACAAGTGATGTCCTTGTGCCCTCAAGTTCTGTGGCTTTATACAGCATCCAGACAACATGGCTGGGTTTGCTGTGATACAGGCGATGGTTCCTAATGACACCTTGGAGACTTTGTCAGCCCAAGCTCCCTGCCAACACCGGCTGACTTGTTACCTCTGGGGACCGTGGTGGGCTGTATACTACCTGCCATTCCCGGCTCCCCTGGCCTGTGTGCAAAGTGGGCCATGGAGGTCTGAGGCCCTGGAGGGGCATGACAGAGCTGGGCAGGACTCGGGGAGCCACTGACCAGCGCCCACGATGGCTGGGAACCTGCCCACCCCAGCCTCCTCCACAAGGCTGGCCCCTGTGCTCCCTCCACAACTCCACCCGTCCTGCACTGGGGGGCCACACCTTTGGGTTCCTCCAACTCTGCTCCTGACCCTGTCAGCCCATATCTTCCCAGGCTGAAGGTAATCATTGTGTGTCTAGAACAGCAACCCTGGGCTCTATCTAAGCAAGATTGGAGGACTGGGTATTCCAAATTATTGCACAGAGTCAGCACCTTTTATTCCAAAAGTTTTGTTTTTGTTTTTGTTTAACTCTTAAGTATCCATAAAGGCCTCCAAGAAAATCTAATGGAGACACAACCCCAGAACATTTGCAATACTGAAATTCACAATGGGCAAGTCCACAGAGGGGAAAATGCCTCAAAGACAATGGCCGTACCATGGAGACTGGATGGGCATTATTAACTAGTTCTCCAACCAGTTGAACTAGGACTTACCCAGATAATACTAAAAGCCGCCATTTATTGAGCCGGGCATTGCGGTAAGGCCTTTCCCTACTTGATTTCTTTCTCTTTTTGGCACATCCCTGATAGGTAGGTAGGAACTGCCCCTCCTCACTTCATTTGCAGATGAAGGGGACAGAAAATTCCAGCCATTAGTTGACTTAATCAAGGTCACAAAGCTAGTGCACAACAAAGATGAATTGGAAGCCAGGTCTTTTCTTTTTTCTTTCTTTCTTTTTTTTTTTTGAGTTGGATTCTCACTCTGTTGCCTAGGCTGGAGTGCAGTGGCATGCTCCTGGCCACTGCAGCCAACCTGCTGGGCTCTGGAGATCCTTCCGCCTCAGCCTTCCAAGTAGCTAGAACTACAGGTTCATGCTACCACGCCCAGCTAGTTTTTAATTTATTGTAGAAATGAGGTCTCGCCAAGTTGCCCGGGTGAGTCTCAAACCCGTGGGCTCAGGCAATCCACTCACCTTGGCCTCCCAAAGCACTGGGATTACAGGCTGAACCACCAAGCTCGGTCCTTTTTTTTTCCAAAAAATATTTTTTAATTTCAATAGCTTTGAGAGGTAAAAATAGTTTTGGTCTGGGCTTTAAGTTACCCACCACTCCCACCTGTGCACATTGTACCCAATGGGTGATATTTTTAAAGCGAGAAAGCAGGATTTATTGAGAGGACGGAAAAGCTCCCACAGTGGGAAGGGACCCGAAGGGGTTGCCCTAAAGGGTGATTTTTAAATGACCCCATGCTGTAGTCTTTTTCTTAGTAGAGGTGTGTGGCCCTTGTTCCCTCATCTTTCAGGACACCTTACAGCCCCAGGTAAACTTGTTCAGCCGTAGAGGCCCTGATCACTTGTTTCTGAGTGTTCTCCCTGACTAGCCAGGTTTTTGCCATTCCAACAGGTAGGAAATTGTCACACTGTGATGCTGCTACAACAAGTGACCAGCAGATGGCAGTGTCCACCAGTCCTCCCTCATTTGTCCCCAACCCAGGGGTTCTCATATGTGCCCTTTGGGAATGCTTCTGGGAAAGGAGCTACCCTTCTCTCTCCTTCTTTGTTGCTTCCTCTCCCCCACCTGGTGGCCTGGGGCACCAGGGCAAGCCACGCCCAGCGACCTGGGGCCAGAGCTGCAGCTGACCCCAGTGTGAATGCCACAGCTGTTGCCTGGGGTAACCTGGGGCCGGGCAGCATGGGTTGGGCCTGGGAAATTTCTCGAGCCTGAAGAAGTCCAGGCTTGGGCATCACACTAGGGCTGACCTGGAGCCTGCTGCAATCTCCCCACCTTCGCTATTCCAGGTCTTTCTTTCTTTTTTTTTTGAGTTGTAGTATCCCTCTGTCGCCCAGGCTGGAGTGTCATGGCATGCTCACGGTCACCCCAGTGACCACCTGCCAGGCTCGGCGATCCTTCCGCCTTAACCCGCCAAGTAGCCGGAACCACAGGTGCGTGCTACCACACCCAGCTAATTTTTTTAAAAAAAATTATTGTAGAGACAAGGTCTTGCTAAGTTTCCCTGGCTGATCTCGAACCCACGGGCTCAGACAATCCACTCGCCTCACCCTCCCAAAGTGCTGGGATTACAGGCTGAGTCACCAAGTCTGGCCAGGTCTTTCTGAAGGAGACGTTTGTGGCACATCTCTGGAGTGAGTGAAGACCAGCACTACCAGATTCAGAGATGGTCTCTGCCGGCTATTGTCATTGTCTTCCCTCTTGTGCCTGCCCAGGATACCTAACCCAAGGCCTTGCCTCCTCCCCTGTAACCCTCTCTCCAAATTTGAGTCAGAAAGGCCAGAGGACAAGCTCCTGGCTGGGTCCCTGGCAGTAGAACAATCCTCACACTGTCCCCACTTTCACTGCAGACCCAGATCATATGTCAGTGGACGTTTGATTGTCAGCCTCACTGTAAATTTTGGGGTCTCAGGCCACGGAGGGTGAAGGGCTTACAGTTCAAATTTAGAGGCACGATTTGAATTCAGGTCTCTTGACTCCCAGGAGCAATCATTTTATGCTCCAAATTGGTGGAAAGCCAAGGACCCAGCACCCCCAACAGGACATGGCAGAGGCTGCCCCTCATCATGCCTCACCCACAGGATCCCTGAGCAGAGCTGAGACAAGACCTTCTGTACTGTGATGGAGAGCAAAGGCCCCGGATCACAGAGGGGTCCTGGGATCACAGATGGTTGTGATGCCAAATGACTGGCTGCTGATCAGTTTCCCTTGTTAGGGTCTTGGCTTCCACATGTGGACAATGTGAGCTGCAGTACAGCGCAGATCCCCTCTAAGGGACCCCCTAGTTCTCTTGTCATCAGTCACAGGGGCCAGGTGTCTGGGTACAGCAGGAGACCCTACCCCCGTGCAAGGCTGAGTAGGCTGCAGCTGGGGATGGTTCAAGTTCCCGTGCCTGAAAGTCACCTCCACGTGGCTCTAGCTGTTGGAATCCAAGACTATTTTCCCCAGTGGAGTCAAACTGGTGTTCTAGGTTCTCAGATGACGTGTAAACTCCCACAGCAAAGGTGCCTTCGAGAGATGTGGCTCTCATAGGTGCAGTATAAAGAACTTCCCCACATTCAGAGCTGTCAGAGGCTGCTGGAATAGGGAGCCCTATCCGTAGGTTTGCAGGTATAGCCCCGGAAGCAACATGTTATATGAGTCAGGCATGGCATGGAAAGTTGACCTAACTAACCCAAAGATTCTTTTAGATATGGGATTCTATGACTGGTTCAGGATTAGTGTTCAGAAGAAGCAGACAGCTTCTATGAGGACTGGATAAGCAGCTAGTGCCCTCTCAGGGAAGGATGTCGGGGTGAGAATGTAGGAACTGCTTCACCCCAGTTATGAAATATTCCCCCCAACCAGGCTGCTTCCCCTCCTTCCTTCTGTTTAAGCCTGGAGCCTGGAGGGCTGGGGGTCAAGGAGAGGACATCAGATGCTTGAAGAGCTTCATTTAGAGCTTCCAGGGCCCAGTTTTCTCCTGGCTGTCTCTAAACTCCACTCCGGCCCGTCTCTGAACTCTGGGACCCATCAGCAGCTTTCCAGGCACTGCTGAGGCAACACAGAGGATGAAGGGATTTCCCTTCTCAATGCTCTTGGCAGGCTTAGTGCATAGAGCACAGTTTCAAGGCCCCAGGCTGAGGAGCTGGCTCTTTCCTGCCCAGCCCACTGACCAAAGGCTCCCTACATCCTCCAAAAGGAACACCAAGC